AACATATGTGATTGGACTGCTCGGGTCCTCCAACGTGCTCCACCGTGACATGAGTCACCAGCTCGTGCATCGTGCTGAAAGTTTTCGAGCATAATTTTTTAGGAGTCTGGTCCAACTCAATCCACTTACAGATGAGTTCCTGTTTGATGGGCTGCCTCATGTAACGAAAGAAGGCACCCGGGCCGTGGTGTGGAGCCAGGTTCACGTTCAGGTTCATACCACCGTAGTTATGAAGCGAAGAAGCAGCAAAATGCTCTGTCCTGGAGGCTGGTACTTGAGTGAAATGTTCAGACCTGGCGTACATTTCTCCAGGTAACCCCAGTCTGAGCTGTCCGTTTAGATGGCCACCTGGAGCTGCATGGGGAGGCTGCTCATGGAGTCCAGTGAACAGAGAGGGATTCCCAGCTTCTGAGTGGTGGTGGTGGTGACCATGGTGTCCGGGGTAGCTACCTGTTGTTGAGACAAATAGTCCGTGGTGAGAACTTGCAGGGGGGTGCTGCTCGGTCAGCCCTGGCATGAGTGGGGGCGGCAGGGCTCTGCGTATGAAGAAGTCCCTACCTGCTGCCAGAGCCTGGGCTGGGTGAGACACAGGGTAAGGGGCTGCTGGTGACTGCGCCGGGCCAAACGCTCCCGTTTGACTAGAGACCACCTCGGCTTGGCCTGCCATATGATGATGATGATGATGATGATGATGGTGGTGGTGGTGGTGGTGGTGGAGCTGGTGGTGGGGATGAGGGGCAGGGCTGAGCTTAAGGGCCGCGGGGTGATGCTGAGGAGGAGGATGAGGATGGTGGCGGTGCCCCATGTGTTCTGGCCGGAGTGGCTGCGGCCCGAGGCGGCACTCTGCGGCGTGCTGCCCCGGCTGAGCGGCGTGGGGGCGCCCGGCGAGGCCCGGCAAGCCTGTCATGCTTTGAGGGGGGTGGTGGTGGCGAGGAGCCCCCGCCAAGTCTACTAATCTCAGCGCCGTTTTCCGCCTGGAGAGAGCAGCAGGGTCCATCACTGGGATCCCCAGAGCATCCACGCTCATTAGCTTCTAACGCTAAAAAGTCACCTGACAGCGGGAGGAGAGAGACACACAGAGAGGAGGGGGGCAAAAAACAACTTTTTTTGTCTTTTCCTTCTCCCCCCACCAAAAAAAAAAAAAAAAAAAAAAAAAAAAAAAAAAGTTTCCTAGTCCCCCTGCCCTGGCGGGGGGGCACGGGCGGCGCTGCCGCGGGCGGGTCGGGGGGGCGGCGGGGCCGGGGAGGTTCCCCCGGAGGGGCCGGGGAGGTTCCCCCGGCACGGCCCGTCCTGCCCGGGCCGCGGGAGCCCCTCACGGCCCGGCCCGGCCCCGGCGCCGCCCCGCGCCCATTGGCCGCCGCCGCCGTGACGTCACCAGTGACAGGTCCCGCCGCCGCCTCGCAGGGTTATCGCTCGAGCGGCGGGGGGGGTGCGAGCCGGGGCCGCGCTGCGCATGCGCCTGCACCGGACACCCCCCGTGCCCGGGGGGCTCTGCCCGGGGGGCCCGGCCCGGCCCGGCCCGGCCCCGCCGCTGCGGCCGCGGGAACAAAGCCACGGCCTCCCCGCGCCTCTGCCCGTCCCCGCTGTCCCGCCCCGACGCGGGGGGCCGTCCACGGCTGAGCCCCGCCAGCCCCCCCGCCGGCACAGCGCAGCGCGGGTCGGGGCGGCCCCGCCGGGGCGGTCGCGGTCCCGGTGTCCCGGAGGGGCCCTGGCACTTGCTGCCAGCGCGGGGAGCGGGTCCTTCCCCGCAGAGCCCGCGGCTGGGGCCATCCCCTCCCTGGCCGGGCGTGTCCGGCCGGGACCAGGCTGCCGCGCCGCTTCCTGAGCCCGGACAAAGCATCCCTGGGAGACCTCTCGTCCCCTTCTCCGCCTCTGACAAGTTTTAGCAGTTATCTCGTTACTGGACGCCGGAGCAATGCGAGAAATCGTGATGTTCAGGCTGAATCTGAGTGTTTAACCCAGAAGAGGGAGTCTCTCTCCCTTTCCCTCTCTCTCACTTTCTCTCCCACACACTTACAGGGTAATTCTACGTAAAATCCTCATCCTTGGCTTGGAGGGAAAACATTTCCAGACATTCCTAGTGGACTCGGTTCTGATGATTCTCACTTGAAGGGAATAACACGGTCTGCAGGGTTTGCGTGCTAGTAATGAAAGTGTAGGTTTGGGTTTCAGCTGGATGCACTGAGGCCTTATAGGTTTAGAAAAGCTTAGGGCTTCAGCACAGAAGGAAGCATCTGCTTAAGTTTTTAAGAAGGGGATTGTGAACTTAAAAAAAGTAAATGAAACATGAGGAAAGACTCTTCTGCTCCAAGAAATAAAACCACATCTCTAAATATCTGCCCACTGTATTAGCACAGTGCTCGGATCATGACATAAGAACAGCTCCCCCAACAGCCTCTCAGTCTTATGAAATAAAGCACTGATTAATTCTCTATCCACCGTGTCAAACTCTAAGTACTTTAATACATTGATTTGCTGCTAACTTGCTAGTGGATGCTTTACCAGATGCATGCCAGGTAAAGCTCACGGCGTATAATTATGCATTTCCAGAAGAATGTAACAGTTTTGGCAATCGGTAGTTTTTTCTGACGTAGTAAAACAAGAAATGGTTTGGCAATGTCAACCCAGCTACTTTCATAACAGAAGCTACCAGCCAATTGGAAACCATAAGATTAAAGAGTAGGACATACATAACCACATTGGGGACATTTTTGTCACAGCTTCACATGCTCTGAGTTGGCTGTAATTTTGGCTCTGCTTGCATTTACCATATCTCCTCTGTAACACAAGGCTGATATGCAGGTAGGTAGCCATAGATACATCCTCGCGTGCATCTTTCTGAGTGGAGATGATGAAAAGTGACAAATGATGCAATTAGCTCTCCATCCTTACATAACATGTTTACGCAGGCAATTGAAACCACACACTCTCCTCACAATATCTCAACTTTCTAGTCTACTTGCTCTACGAAATGGATTTGACAGTCCTATTCATGACCATCTCAATAGGAGTGCACGGAAGAGACAAACGTTAGGAAGTATGAATCTGTTACTTACAAATGTACTGAGAGTGTGAATCCCAAATAAAGCTGCTTTCCTCATACCTCCTTAAAACACTGCATCTCTACATACTTGTTATCCGTCAATTGTGACACTTCTCAGTCAAGGGAGAAAACATCTGGAACAGTTTGTCAATTAAAAAAAAAAAAAGTCATAACCGGTGTGCCCTAAGTTCATTTCAAACGTTGTGATGATTTCTCGCCAGACACTCATGGCTCTCAGCGTGCCCCTCACTCAGGGATGTCTCTCCCACCCTTTCTCAGACAGTGCAGGAGAACCTGGCCCTCGGTGTCCGTCCCTGTTAGGTGAGGTTGCTGTGGGTGGGGGAGTGTGGCGGGGGCCGCCACATGACTGCAGGAGGCGGAGAAACGCGGATGACGAGGGAAGCGGGCCCAGACCCGGCCGGGCTCCGCGCATCTCCCACAATGTTTTGAAAACTTGAACACCTGTCTGTGCAGCCCTTTGGCAGCTCGAGCTCATCTACTGCTGCCACTAGAGAGGTGACCGAGGTCTCCTGCTTCTTGGCAGCGGCCTGAGCCATGACTGACCAGACATGCCGGGCTCTCGGCAAACTCTCAAATGTGTCAGCATCAGCTTCTGCAGGGCCAACAGACTGGCAGTTTGATCCTGAGTACAAATTTTCCTGTTGCTGCTACGTTTGCGACCCCGTCCGCAGCCCCCGGCCCCAAAGCTCACCCGGGCTGGAGGGTTGTTCTGAAGAGCTGATATGTTCTAGAGATGAGTCACAAACGTTTCTCGTCGCTCCAGCTGTCCTCCCTTGCCTCAGACCCGGCTCTCTTGGGGGAGAGGCTGGCCGGACAAGCACCGGGAAAAGGCAGGAGCCCCGCACGTCGGGGCTGTGCTCTCAGAGAGGCTGAGCTGTCTCCCTGCTTTCCGTCCTGCCGTGCCGGACCCAGATCTCCGCCTGCCCACCCCTCGGGGGTGCGGGGCAGAGGCGGGCAGCCCCAGCTCTTCGGCCTCTGCACGCACCCCCGCCCCTCGCCGGGCTGCCGGGCCTGCGGTGAGAACGGCTGCACATCTCCTTGCTAGGAGAGAACAGCTCCAGTTGCTCAACGGCTTTACCTTCTCCTTGGTTTTTGGTAGGAATCTGCCTACACATCAAGACCCTTTTCGCTATCTCTAACAGAAGACAGAGCCAAATCCTGCTCTCCCTTATAATCGTGCTCAGCGCAAGGCATATCTCCTGCCCCCGGGAAACATCAGAGAGAGTAAAATCTGACCTTCACTCACCCCATGTTCTCCCACTTCCACCTTTGCGGAAACTTCCCTTCCCCACGAGACAGCTAGAAACTATCCAGCCTGTGCCCGAGGGCTGGGATGGAACAGGATGCTCTGAACACTTCAGACAGGTGTTCCGGGGGTTATCTTTAGGCTTAGACTTCCGAACGAGAGGAGGTGAGCGAATCAATCTGAAAAAAAACCCTAATCTTTACTGCGAGAAAGTTAAAAAACCCCGAGGAATAGAAACAGAGAGGACCGAGAAGTCACGCTGTGCAATTCCTTATCCCCTAAACTCACACTGGGTAGGAAGGGATGAGGGAGGCAGACTCAGGACGTGAGCCCGAGTCCCTGCCTGCCCCCGCAGAAGGCACTGCTTGTTAGGAAGATGTGGTTCAAGAAAGTTTTCAGTAAACCCAGCATCACCTCAGATAGGAGAGGGTACCGAGTAGCTCAAGAGCACACTCTGCCTTTGTTTTTATTCCCTCGTCCCATTCCTACTTGCGGGGACTTCTTTACTTCAAGGTTCCCGGACAAGGGGAAGCTACCTGCCAGACAAGCAAGGGTTTGTGCCTAGGTTTGCCTCTCACATTTTGTGACCTAGAGCTACCCTAGGACAAGCAAATCATATGCTTATTTTAAATAGAATATTTCATTCAGGACCCCAAGATTAAGGTATTCCTGTCAGATAAGCTGTCAGTCACTAACTACTTAGACACCATATTGTGGAAGCCTGGTACCCCTGGTAAAGATGATACATATCATGTAAACCCCATCAACAAGATCAAAGTCTTCTTCTTTAATAGGATCCAATACATGTCAAACCTCATTCCAATCAAATCGTCCGTAAATGAATTCAAGATGAATATGTCATAGAATAATGTGACAGTGCAATCACATGGGGTCAGGGGTTGTTGTTTCAATGAGAGAGTCGTCAAATATTAATTCTAGAACCTCCAAATGAATAGGCATTGAGCAGGATTAGGCAGCTGCTGGTGGGGAGTTCTGTCACTGATTTGTGTTTATGCAAGTACGTTAAACACTAAGCTGAAAAAAAATAGTCTCCTTTGAATTGTAAAAAGGACATATTTTAACTTACTTGACTTTTCCAGGATGTTTCTGTAAAGTCGTTTTCTTTTCCTCATTGCAAGGGGAGTCTTGTGCCTCATTTCCTGACTTTGTTCCTGTTTGGGGAGAGAGGTGGAAAGTTAAGAGCCAAACCATTTGTGTGTGATATGAAATGAGTAAGGTACTGTATGTCTTGAGCATCATGGATTCAAAAAGAAAAGGGAAAAAAATGGCAGAAAAACATAAAAACAAAGCAAAACACAAGTTAGGCAGTGAGAGGGGAAGAGAAGCTTTCTCCGAGGGGAAACTGGAGGCTGTCTCCCCAGCAAAGCAGCACATGTTTTATGGAGTCATGAAGTTTCCATGGCTGATTTAGGGGAAAAAATATGAAAGGACATCTTTTCAGTTCTCCTTTGATCTGACATTCACCTTCTGGCAGGCTATTGTAAGGCAGGTTTTTTACCAACTCGACTATATTGTTTACAGATCCCTTCCTCCCGAAATGAAATTCCGGACTCTCTGCGAGCCTCCAACACAAGTTGTTGTCTCAGCAAGGATTAGTATAGTACCACCCTGGCACTTCTCCCTGCCTATAATTTTCAGCTTGCTCTTTGCTCTCTGCAAGGCAGAGCACTGCCACTGCTGCAGGCAGAACTTTGCACAGCTTGCTTTGAGCGGCAGCAATAGCTTTGAGAGCAGAGCTGGGGTTGCAGTGTTCGAGTCTGAATTTTTACAGATACCTTTGAAATTC